ATATATTAATTTTTAATTAGTTACTTATTTGCATAAGGTGGGTGTTGTCTTAGATATGTAAATATCTTTTAGGAAAATTATGTATAACTTAAGATATATTGTGCTTAGAATGAATTAAAAATTAACTAAAGTGTCTGATTCCAAAATACGTAAATTAATATAACGAAAATATTCTAAAGTCTCATGGATATATATAAATTTTACAAAAGAACTAAAATTGTAAGAGTTGGTTAGTATTTATTTTTATTTGTTAACATGTTTTGAGTTATCATATGATCAATAAAAGGTTACATGCATTTATAAATTCTAAATAATTTTATGCTTTAGATTTATTAAATGTAAACTGAAATTTATTTTAAATAATCTTAAATTGAGAATTCAGATTTGCTTTGATATTTTGATTATGGTTATATTTAGTTTCACAAACATAAAACATAAAATTTTAAACAATTAATATTAATAAAATAAATAATTCTAATAATGATAAAATATCATATATCTAGCTCATTAGAACAATTATTTTGACCAAACTATGTTTATTGTTAAATTTATTTTTAGTTTTTAATCTCTTAAAAATAAGCACTACAAAAAATTGTGATTGTATTTCAAAATAATATTATATAAGTAAAATATAAGTTCTAGATAATTTTCTGTAATTGAAAGACATTATAGTCAACTAAATATATGAAAAATAAATAAAAATTCAATAATACTAATTATAAACTATTTTATTACTCTAAAAGTATATTTTATGTTATTTAAAAATATTTTTAAATGTATTATTACTATTTTGTGAACTTTCCTTTTTTATGAAATTATATTATATATACATATTTTATGTTATTTAAAAATATTTTAAATGTATTTTTACTATTTTGTCAACTTTCCTTTTTTATGAAATCATATTATATATACATATATTTTCGTTTTAAATTTGTTTTTTATGACTTTATAAAAATGATTTTTTATTACATATCTTTTTGGAAATTTTTGAAAAGGAAAAACTAAAAATAAAAGAATTAATAATACTATTTTCAATTCATTAATGGTATCAATGTAATCAACCATCGTGAGAATAAACTGATAGCTATATATAGGAAACTGACTTCTCAAATAATATTATAGAGATACCTAACAAATTCATCAAACAGAGAATATTAATCTTTTTTATTTGATTCCTCGGTTCGAAATCTGAAGATCTGCGATGGCGGCTCTCGATATCTGCGTGAAGGTTGCTGTTGGTGCTCCTGATGTTCTCGGTGACTGTATGTCTCTTCTTTCTCTCTTTAACATCATCGATCTTTGTTTTGTTTTTTGATCTCAAAAACTAGGGTTTTAAAATGTGTTCCAGGCCCGTTCAGCCAACGTGTTCTTCTAACACTCGAGGAGAAGAAAATTCCTTACAAGATCCATCTGATCAACGTCTCCGACAAACCCAAATGGTTAGTTTCTGTCTGAAACAAATGTTTTTAATATAACAGATCTATCGACAGTTTCTTGAGGCACAAGTTTTCTTTAATGCTAGGTTTTTAGACATTAGTCCTGAAGGCAAAGTTCCTGCGATGAAACTTGACGGCAAATGGGTGGCTGATTCAGACGTCATCGTCGAGATCCTCGAGGAGAAATATCCAGAGCCTTCTCTCAAGACTCCTCCTGAGTTCACCTCTGTTGGATCCAAAATCTTTAGTGCTTTTGTGACTTTCTTGACAAGCAAAGATCCTAATGACGGTTCCGACAAGGCTTTGGTTAACGAGTTAGAAGCCCTGGAGAATCATCTTAAGACACATCCTGGTACTTTTGTAGCTGGAGAGAAACTCACTGCGGTTGATCTGAGTTTAGCACCAAAGCTTTACCATCTTGAGATCGCTCTTGGTCATTACAAGAACTGGTCTGTCCCTGAGAGTTTGACCAATGTTCGTAGCTATGCTAACACTTTGTTCTCTAGAGAGTCGTTCGAGAAAACCAAAGCTAAGAAGGAGTTTGTTGTCGCTGGTTGGGCATCTAAGGTGAACAAGTGATGTGTGTTGCTTACAAGTACTATTACTATTTATCAAATAATGAAATGAGGGAATAATCTTGTGTTATCAATCAATAATGATGCAATAAACAATCATGTTCTTTTTTTTGGATATTAGATATGTTTTATTTAATTTAGTACTATTACAATCTCTCATTAAAGTAAATGGTTGCTACTAAGGCGAAGATGATTTGTTTTATCAGACAAACTGGTTGAGATACTCATCAACGCTTGTGTACTTGACATCAGGGTAAAGCTGAGAAGCTTCCACTCCAAAGGAAGGCTCTATTGTAAACCAAGTTTGATCTCCTTTCACAAAGATAGCATGATTCAAAGCCAAGAGAAGATCTAGTGGATGTGGTGACTCTGCAACAACGTTACAAAAGAAGTAATTAGCAAATATGTGATTAAGTATTGTCAAGAAAAGTTACATGCATAATGTATTAAACTCACGTGGGATTTTCTTGAGGAGTTCTTCCTCAGAAACGTAACTCTTCTCAAGAGTTTTACCAATCTTGCTCTCCCACAAGGCAACGACGTCGTTTTGTGAAACAATATTCTTTGGAGGGTTGATGTAGACAGATTTGTTGAGAGTCATTGGATCATCAACGGCTCTCATGGTGTATGCAGCAATGTCTTCCTCTTTGTTTAAAATAGCTACATTTTCATCCAAAACACAAATTCAGAAAAAAAATTCTCTCATCTTTAATCTTTTTAATTATGTTTTAATGTCAAAACCATGATTATTATTATTACCTTTAGCGTTACCATCACCATAGATGGTGACTTTGTCTCTAGGAGGAGAAGTAAGTCTAGTTTCACATTGAGCTAATGTAGCTAAGAAATAACCATCAAAGCAATTGTTGATAACATATGTGTATGGTACACCTTCAGCTTCAACAGCACGACGAACCTCAGCCTTCATTGCAAACTCTGACTTTGCTGCTCCAATAGCCACCGTTCTATCCACATCGTTGCCAAACTCAGACGGCAAGAATCTCTGTTTAACATTTTTTTAAAAGTAAATCAACAAATAAATCTCAGACTTTAATCTCATATACATAATGTTTACATATCAGAAGTAAGATAATTCCGATTTAGAGAATAATGCTTCACAAAACATATTATTGTCTCTTATACTCTCTCCGTGTGAATTTTGTTGTCTTGTAAAAAAAAATCAAAATAAATATCGTTTTATAATTTCAATGCAAAATTTGTTAATTTGTATATATTATTTTATTTTTTATTGATTGAAATATGATTAAATGTATAGATAATTATGTTTTTATCTAAAAAATATATAAAATTATATATTTTTTTTAATCTATTTGTATAAAACTAAAACTACAACTAAAATGAAATAGAGAGAGTATTGTTTTTTAATCTTGAGATAAAGAAAACACTGACCTTAATATGTTTACCAGATTCTTTAATAGCAGAAATGATATTGAGCTGGTTCATGAGTTGAGAGAGACCAACGGTGGAGATGACTACATCAACGTGTTGAATCGCTTTCACTAAGCTCTCTTTGTCGCTTAAATCTCCCTGCATATGATAGTATATATCATGGATATGCTCATTTTTCATATATTATTATAATCTTATAGAGAAGAAGAAGAATCTTGTTTTTTTTTCTAACGTACATTTAGTATGGTGACGCCAAGATCTTTGAAGTTCTGGACGATTTTACCCTTGGCTGGATCGGAGAGAGAAGCTTCTCTAACGAGAGCGAATGTTTTGTGGCCGGATTTGGCGCTGCCTTCAACGATGAATTTTCCGATGTAACCGGTTCCTCCGATCACCAGAATCTTGCTTTTCTCCGTCGCCATTGCTTTTGTGTGTTTTGTTGTTTTAGTAAATGGTTTGATCACTTTCAGGGCGGCTGATGAATGTTATTATATAGGAACCGTGAAGCGGCTGAGTTTAGGAAATTACGGAAAAGATCTTTGTCTGAAGACTCTTTGGTTTTGACTTTTATTAGTCTCTCTGCCTGTTTTTTCTCGCCTCCGATTCATACGTCACGCCATGCGATTGATTTTTCTTTTATTTTTTTTTAATTTTTTTCTTCATGGAGAGTATATTGCTTATTGGTGATCATTTATCCTTTTTGATAAAATATTTAAAACTTTGAGATTAATCTTTTCTAGAATACCAATATAAAAAAAAAAAAAAAAGATTGCGAGTAATTTTCTATTTTTTTGAATCAGTACAAATTACTACTTTCTAGAACACCAAGGTCAAAAAAGCATTGCGAGAACTTTCAATGTATTGGTGGTCAAAGCTTCTAGATGGCACAAGAGTCAAAAAATCCTCTTTTCATAGTTTGATGGTACAACTCAAGATATGACATGGGCTTTTTTAAGGAAAGTCACCTAGGAAATATTTGAAAACATCAAATGGGCTCCGATTCATTGTACAAAAAACAACATTTGTAAAACTCACACTCCATTTCCTTAAACAAATAGAAACTGGTCAAGTGGAGGAGCATTTACACAGATTCCATGTAATCTTTTACGTGGTCAAATGTTCTATATTCTTTGTCTTTACAAGTAAAACGCCAACCATGTCTCTGGGGCCTCAAGGCAATATCGGCTCCCACTCACTCGACTCTGCAAGTAACCTCTCAAGCATCTCCTCTTCTTTTTTGCTAAACTGTAAATTTAAAAGGTTAGATTTTACAAAGAACAATCTAAGATCTGTTCTACCAAGGCAAAAAAAGAAAATACAAGGTAGAAAAATGATTGGGTTGACACCCTTAAAGAAACTATTAGATCCACAAAGACATGAGAGAATGAAATTTCTTCCTCTCTCTCCTTGCAGTGTTGATGTTGTGAACCTCTCTATCAATCACCTTTCAAGTAGATACAGGCGAGACAGAGAAGGTGTTATGGAGCACATTGTTCCTCTGCTTCCATAAGTTGAAGATCATTGTTTGGGATACTATCTTACACAAGAGGGCAGGAACCTGTTGAGAGAATCCTAGAAATCCATGATAGAAACTCATTCCTCAATTATTTAAAATGGACTATGTGTAGTTGCTTTTTTGGTGTGAGGCGAATTTACTAATCACCAATATTCTCCTTCCAAAAAACATTTGACTTGGACTAAAAAAAAACATTTCTCGAATTAACCAATTGAACTAACCATGAAATTGGACAATTTTCTCGTCATTTTCATTAGGCATGATTTTTTTTTCTGGTCGACATGAGGTATGTAAAACAGAAAATAGATTAGATTTGGATACAAGAATTTTATCACAAAAGGAAACGATAATATCCCTTATGTCCAAATTATTCTTTTGCATCAAAGTATTGATGGTTCTTGTAAAAATACTTGTCATTCAGATGGGTCTCTTCCACTACATAACACAAAGTCACTAGATTCAAGGTCCAGGAGAATACATTTATCTATATATTTTTGAATTGGTGAAAAATGTAAATGAATATGCTTTTTATAAGAAAAAAAGATCCACAGGAGAAGATGATGATGGGATATCGAATCCTTTATTTTTTCGATTTTAAGCATTTTTGGATTTTTTTTCATTATTAGTTGATGCTGATAATAGAATTTAAACTATCATATCTTGTAATATATGCTGAATAGCTATAACAATGGTAAATTTACGCAATTTATGTCTGCTAGTTCACTTTTCTCCCACAAAATTAGTCAGAGAGGATGCTCAAATAATGGCTTATCATTATTTAGTTATAAGCATTTTTGGACCGACGATTAAGCTTTGCAGGATATAAATATTGGCATATATTACCATTTTCTTTGGAAGAGCCAGTCGTCTCTAGGCCTGGGCGTTTTTACCCCAACCCGAAGTACCGACCTAAACCCGAACCGAAAAAACCGAACCCGGATCCAAACCATTATACAAAACTAACCGAATGGGACTTATGAGCCTAGTACTTCGGATTTTGGTTATAACCCGAACCGAACCAAAATCCGAAGTAAGATCCGAAGGTATCCGAAATTAGTTAAATATATTAATATTTTTATATATGTTAAGGTAATTTAGATAGTTTATAATATTCTAAATATTTTCATAGTCTATGTTATATGTTATTTTGAATATATCTGAGCTAATTTAGATAGTTTAACTAATTTTTAAGTATACTTGTGAATAATTTACATATTTTGAATACTATTTTGTCAAATTTTTAGGTTTTAAAAAATATTTTTGGACGATTTCAGACATTTGTTATAATCCGATCCGAACCGAATCCGGAAGGAACCGAACCGAATCCGATCCTATTATTAGCAAAAACCGAATAGTACTTATAAGCACAGTACCGAAGATCCGAAAATCCGAATCAACCGAACCGAAACCTATTGGGCCACCGAACGCCCAGCCCTAGTCGTCTCCATGTCAAAACCTATAATGTCATGGATAAAATTATACGTCCACCATGATTGTCTACTAATATAAACTTAAATCTATCATTCACAACACGAATCATAATAGATGGCTTACGTTATCATATCGAGAACTGTGAAATAATAGATTAGATGTATATTAGATGTATATAAGATAACAAGTAGTGGCGTATTTATATTAACATAGCATCGTGATAAATTTTTTGTCTATTATAAGCACATTAGGCCAAGTTGTTCAACTTACCAACTTCAACCCTACGTTTTAAACTGGTTGTCGATATGATCACTCAGTTAAATGATTTTGCTTAAACGTGGCAAGTTTTATAACATCATCATATTAGTATTCTTTTGCAATATAAAAGCATAGTATATACAATTTCCTTCAAGAACTTGAGATATATATCAAGGGCATACATCATTTTTAATTCTCCAAAAGATAGTATATCAGAAAACATTACACCAGTGTTATGATTGACTTTTTGTAGACCACATATATATAACGTTAATGTATCACAAAGTGTATTTTATATAACTTTGACTAGTTAAATGAAAAGAATAATTACATAAAATAAAAATTGAAAAACTCTCCAACTTGCAGAATCTAAGAACTCCCTTTGTCTCCTCCTTATAAGGAGCCCTCTCTTGCCATTCTTCTTATAGAAACTTTTACGTTCACTCTCTCCTCAAATAGTATTAATGGCTTCAAACTCTAGAAGCTCGAGCTCGTCATGGACGTTCAGACAGAACAAGATGTTCGAGAGAGCCTTGGCAGTTTACGACAAGGACACACCAGATCGGTGGCACAATGTGGCAAATGCTGTTGGAGGGAAATCTGCAGAGGAAGTTAAGCGTCACTATGACATCCTCGTCGAAGATCTCATCAGCATCGAAACTGGTCGTGTCCCTTTGCCTAATTACAAGACCCTCGAATCTAACTCAAGAGGCATCAATGACACGAGGTAATTAATTATCTAAGTTTAATATGTACTTATATTTTGTTTCAGTTTAACATGCCTAATTATGAACGTCTGACTATGGATTCTATGCTCTCGTTTTGGATCGAGTTTACATGTCATATTTAGATCTTAGAAACACAACACTATATAGTTTCTTTTCTATCAAACACTTTAAAAAAAAAATGAAAAATAGCACTTATAATTTATAAGAAACTATTTGGTAACAAAAACGTAAATAAGACAATGTTTGTTTAAATGTAAATGCATAAATTTTGACATTAAAAATATTTTTAGTACAAACACAATAATCAACACAACAAAGGAATTGTTTACCTGAAAATTAATCTATTGATCACATGAAACTTGTCTTTGTTATTTTTGAAGCTATAACATTATGTCATGATAAGATGGACATAAATAGATATATTGGTTATTTCTATTTCTGTACATGGTCGGTGGTCGACATATCGAGTGTTTATTAATATTACAAGCTGTTAATTAAGCAACACCCGAGGTTGGGGAACCTTTAATTAACGATATCCTCAAGTTGCTAATTAAATATGTGATTGGAATCTAATCAACATGCTTGGACAACCGATAACTTAATTACACATGCTCGTGTTTATACTACATGTATTGCTATTTTACAGGCTAATGAAGAATTTGAAGATCTAATGAAGTTTATTGTGTTCAATTGTAAAGACTCGGAAGAATCACATATTCTCCTGTCTACTGATTAATGCTTATGTACTCATCGTTTGCTTTCATATATTTGTCTTTGTATGATGTACTATAATTAAATAACTGAAATTTGGTTAAAGTAAAGATTTTAATTATGATAAATCAGCTAGAGAGTATAAATAAACCTTTGAAACCCGACAAGAATATTGTGTTTTCCTATTTTAGCAAACGGGGAAGAGTGATTTATACAAAAAGTGTGACTAAAGAAGAATACAACAAGAAGGTGGTAATTGGCTTTAATTAAGCAAATATCGATCTTCATAAATCATAATCAATACTTTTAGTTCAAAATTAATGTATTCCGAAGGATATTCTGATGCTTATCCTGTCTACGACATGGTTATTGATCAAACGAGCTCTATACTTAGTTTAGTTTATCTACTATTTTGTTAGTCTCTTCCCAAATTTTATATGGTCGATTTATATTAATTATAGTACTGAATATCGATTACCCTGTCATATGTAAATAGATCAAAATTTCCATTAACAATGTAAATATCAATTATCATAATAAAGTAGGTCTAAGCAAGATTAAACATCATTTAACTTGAGATAAGAAAACACATGCACGTGAACAAACTCCAATAAAACTCGACAGCCTTCTGCCGATAACATCCATAAGCAAAACATGGTTATTTTCTTTCACTAACACTGTTGTTAATAACTTAATAGGCTGTAATGGGCTGTAGTGGGTGATTACAATGGGCTGTTACGGGCTTTCATGGCTAATTGTTATTGATAAGCGAGGCCTTTAATCTGTCGAACTGACTCATTTCAAAGGCGAACAAGGTGGCCGACTAAAACAAGAAACGACGTTGTCACGTAAGGAGAAGGATCTTATAATACTGTACTTTTGTGTATTTTACTGAACTTTCGACTTTGATATAGGAAGCTTTTAAGTATAGTTCTTTTGGTCCACTTTCTTTTTCTCAGAAGGAACATAAATTCGATGAAAATCATTTCCTATATATATATATATATTAATAATTATCAACAGTTTCACTTGTGTTAAAAAAAAAAATTCAACAGTTTCACACACAAGGATGGTCGCAAAAGAAAATAGAAACTAGAAAAGTTTTATTTATAACCAATTATTACATAAGGTAGCTTAGATACATAGGTCGTGACGACACAGAATAGAAAAGGAGAAAAGATACATTGGTCGTGAGTTTTAATCTTGGTCTCATCTGTGAGATATTCTGAATATTTCTTTTGTTTGTTTAATTTATTTTCTTCATTGTTTTCGTTTGGGTACAAAGCTGGAAGGTGACAGATCTACAGTAGACACAAATCATATGGTTACAATTTTGGACATATTTCACATCGAACATACTAAAATAACTCAGCTTTTATCACAACGCTTGCGTATGCATATATATAACAAAATTCAAATCATAAGATAAATATGAAATATTCATCTATATTTATTCATATATATAACCTAACCAGCTAGAAATGTTGTATTTACAACTTTACATTATGTATCTGTTTTTGGCTGGTTACATTATATAACCAAGTGATGCTTATCTATAAGATTCTTTATGTTCGAATTAAGAAGCAGTAAGTTTTATAATGTTAACATATGAAGCTTTATCTATTGTGACTTTTGTATATCTTGTAAGAATAGTATCAAAATATTAATAGTAATAGCCGATCGTACTTGGCTATATATCTAAGTTTTGTAACAACACAGAAAATGGTTGTGTTAAGCTAAAACGTAAAAAAAGACACAAGCATAAACTACCAAGTTAAAAAAAGCTGATTACAAGTACGAACTGAGTAAAAGCCAACACACAGAAAATAATAAAAAAGTAAACCAAATTAAAAAAAAAAAACATTAACTACGCAATCAAAACATCCATTGATTGATCCAAAGATCGTACAAGCTACAAAAACCTAGATAGCATTAAAATAACAACAACAGATTAAAAGTAAAAACTCTGACATAATCTCTCAATTAGGTACTTAATCATTAGAGAGTTCCTGGTGTTGTTGTTGGTGTTGGTGGTGATGGTTTCTTGGCATTGTTCTTGTTATTATGCATCCACACTTTAAACACTTGTCTCTTAACTCCATTCTCATTACAGAACCTCTTGAGCTCTTCTTCGTCTTGCTTGTTCATCCTCCACCCTAGCTTCTCCGCAAACTCCATCATCCTCTCCTTCTGCTCCGCCGTGAACTTTGTCCTAAACCGTTTCTTGGAAAACCCCATTTGCCCCGCATGCTCTCCGCTTGACTGTCCGTACAGATTCAGATCTTCACTAGACGACTCAGCTCCTCCTCCTCCTCCTCCGCCGTAAGCGACGCTCATCGGCGTCACCATCCCTCCTCCACCGGGAGAACTCATCCCGTACTTGTGGTGGCTCATCTGAGCATAGTTCGGCGGCGGAGGAAGCATGAGTGTGTTAAGCATCATGTTCGGCGGCGGCGGTCTTCTCCCTCCTCCGCCGTACTGGTGGTGACGGTGGTGGTGGTGATGAGCAGAGGCTCCAACACCGTCGACTTCTTTCCGGTGGAAATTACGGTGGCAGTCGCAAGCAGCGCATCTGAGAGCTTCTAAAGTGCCTTCTTCGCCGCTCGGCATAAACTCGCCGCAACCGTCTTGTACGGCTCCGCCGACGCTCGCCGCGTGGTTCTTGAGACACTCCCGGTAACGTACGGTGGCTTTGGAGGCTGCGGAGATGTTGGAGGAAGACTTTGAGTGGTGGTGGTGGTGATCTAGGGTTTGAGAGTTGCAAGAGACAAGAGTGTTGTTGTTATTATTACCGTTACAATTATCTTCATTAGTAATAATGCTACTGATGTTGTTACCAGCTCCATTGTTGCCATTGTCATCACTTCTTCTCTCTATCATCATTTCATGGCTTCTCATATCCATTTTTTTGGAGTTTAATTGAAATTAAAAACCTGAAAATTATTAGATTTTAATTAAGTAGATCGGCAAACAAAGAAAATTAAGATTATACACTAAAATTAAAACATTGGAAATAATTTAATTAAGTAGATCGACAAACAAGGAATTAAGGTTATACACTAAAATTAAAACCGTGGAAATAGTTTAATTCTAATTAAGTAGATGGACAAACAAAGAATTAAGCTTAAACACAAATTAAAACCCTTGAAATAATATAATTCTAATTAAGTATATCGACAAACAAAGAATTAAGCTCTTAAACACTCAAGTTTGTTTAATTTTAATTTCATGTAACATATTAATGAGATTAATTACTACTAATAAGGAAAGAAAGAAGATTAAAGACAGAGAGATCAGAGTCTTACAGATAAAGAGAAAGTAGAGGAGGTAAGACCCAGTTCTTGAAGGAGGAACAGAAGATCTTAAACTCATTAAGAGCTCAGATCTTTTTGCTTGTGAAGTGTGTTAATGGGGAAAGAGTGAGAGATGAAAGAGGAACTTTAGGATTAATACTGAAAAAGGTTTTTTAGGGTTAATTGGTTTTAAGAGTGGAAGAGAGAAACCATGTTTGATGTCTCAGTGCTGCCAACAAGCCAACCTTTGAGATCTGATTATAAGAGACAGTTTGGTTGCTTGTGGTGAGGCCATTAGAAAGAGATAAGAGACGATCCACTTTGCTTGTGAGAGATGAGACTAATGCCATACCCTACTATATATTGAGATATTTATTAAATGTGTGTTTATCATACTCTTGCTTATTAAGTTAATTGTAGTTTTAAAGAAAAACAAATAAAACATACAAAAACTGAAATATGGACAAATAATAAAGTTTATTTTGGGTATTTGGCTAATTATCTCTATATCAGTGTTTTTTTAATCTAACACAAACAACAAACTGGACAGTCTTTTATGTCATTAGGTAATCAATCCAAAGCGATAAGTTTAAGTGATAAATATTTTTTACTTATATGTAATTTTATATTAAAAATCTATAATTTTTAAATATCATATTTAACAATAACAATCTAAATCTAAATATTGAAATATCAAAATGGTATATAGATACAAAATAAACTATCAATGCATCAAACCAAATAATCTTGATCATTTTCATCAATATTCCGCTGACTTTCTGTAATTCGTATAGTCAGATATTTCATTTTATATCAAAATAACATATATTATTAGATATATTACATACAACTGAATTTTTGATCTACATTTTAAAACCTTATCATTTTAAAGAATACTATCATGGAGTTACAATCAATGCGAAGTTTGCTAAAAATTTATACATTTGATTAAAATTGCAATTGGTTAATTTAGTATTGGATTGGGATGATTATATTAGCAACATAATTGCTTAATTTGCCACCATATCTGGATCTCGTCTGAAAACAATGCTCTATATTAAACAGACTTATAAGAGGACTGATATTTTCTTAATTCAGCCTGATTTTTTTGGACATATTTTATGCCTGAAACTTGTGCGGAAGTTTTCATTTCTAGTAAATATGTGAAGTTTTCCACTGACTGATCTATCAATTGACTCTAGACATCATGATTCTATAGTAACTTGAAGGTCCAATTACATAGTATTTGTCGCAAGTTTGAACGATAATTTTTTTACCGTGTACTTTACAGTTTGCCATAGTGCTTGATATGTATAAAACACAAATAAAAGTTAGAAATAGAAAATTTAAAATTCTATAGTGTTGTAACTTTGTTTTTGCCGTTGATGCATAATGCTAAAAATGCAAATCAGTTTGAAATAATCTTAGACCATCTCTAACATACTGCATAATTTACTTGAAAAAAAAATTTAAATAAAAAATTTGTAATTTTACTATATTTTCACTCTATAAAATATGTATTTGTTCATAAATAGAATAACTTTTTTTTTCATTAATCTATTTTTACTTCAAAAATATAGTAGGATTGGACCAAAGATAGTTCCATGTGTGTTCCACAATAGTTTTTTAAAATTATTATAAATAATTTTATATAAAGATAATATAATGATAAATTCTTACTTATATAAAATATGTAAATATAAATTATTAATTTATATTTTTAACAGAATCATAAATTTAAATAGAATTTTCTATAAAATGATTACTCTATTATTTTATTAATTTATATTAAATTTTGAACATACCTGAGTTAAGGTCAACAAACTTTAGTAATTTATATACTAATTTATAGAGATTTTACTATATTCAAATAACTCAATGATAATAATAATAATAAATAACACTAAAATAATAATAAAATTAAAACATTGTAGTTTGTGCCAGTGGATCATATTACATTGGTAATCGGATGAGCTATTACGTAATCTTAGTTTCTTTGTTTTCGACATATATCATTAATTACTGAGTTTTTAAAAAACAAAAAACATTTGTACTTTATTTATGTCTCCGTATAATATTGTTCTTATTTGAGGCAATTAAAACATTAATATCATTACAGATTGCAAATTGTTGAAGTTATAAACTATCGGTCACTCGATGTACTCATCTTGTGGAGTTTATACATCAAATTCTGTTATTCTTTTGCAACGTAGCTATGGCTCCATTAATTAGTAATTATAGATAGGAGCTCTTGAGGTGGTTAACTGTTCAAACACTCTTAACTAACTATCTGAACTTTTATTCAGTCGGTGCAGAGGTCCTCTTTTAGGTATATACTAATCGGTTTTATACTTGGTAACTTTGGTCTTGAATGTATTTTGTTTTTTCACTCAACAAGGTCGTGATTCTCTTTGATTGTTCATACACCAGTTTGAACCTTCTTAATTTTGTGTCCAAGTGATTATAAGAATATCATACTTCCAGAAATAAATATAAGCATACTAACCCTATTTATATTTTCAATATAAAAGTTGTAAATTGACAGAAATTAATAAATCTTATATATTAAAACCTAATTACCGATTATTTTCGGAATCTATAAAAAGAGAGAGAGAGAGAGAGAGAGAGAGAGTTAAATTCAAAAGAAAAATTAAACGAAATTAGGCTTTATAGTGTGTGGGTCGCAGAGAAGGGCAGTGCAGAGAACAACCGACAAAGTCAAGTTGGAAGCCCAGCCACATGCCCTGCCATATTATGGACCCCGCCCATTCTCTCTCCCCTTCATTATTACTTCTCTCTCTCTTCATTTTTCAAACCATTAAACCCTAATTTGTCCAAACAGCATTTACCCTTGCTCTTATCTTTTCTTCTCTCCTATTTCACTCTGCCTACTGTTTATTTTTATTACTTTACATTTCATACACAAGAACATACAAATCGATTCTCCCTATTTTTTTTAAACTCTTTTATCCCTTTTTATATACTAGTTACAAGCTTTTTCAGCATAAAAGAAATTTGGAGTTTAGTACAAACATCTAAAAGCACTTCATTGTGAAAGTTTCTTAGTGAGATCCATTAGTAATATTTTCTAAGAATTTGGATTATTTAATTAAATTTTAATATTTAAAAAACTGAACTAATCACAAATTGATAAGTATAATAGTCTTTAGTGAATTTCATTAATTGTATTTCTTTCTTCTAATAATGAGATATGTATTGGTTCTACAGACAGAGCTCCAAATCTTCAAGATTTAGTAGACCACATCATCATGCACTGAGATATTTTCTCTATATCCTAAATAGATGTGTAATTCCATCGTTCATTCATTCAATTTATGCCATTTAACTACGTAATATATTGTACTTTCTGTAAAATACAGCATCAGCATATCAAATCGTCAATACAATAATCCATTATTCCATGCGTGTGATGAATAAATGTTAAAAAGGTTGCAAAAATGTAAAAACTGACGTAATTTGTTTTTTAACAAAAAACTGACGAATTTAATTAATTGAATGATAACAGAAAATAAAGTTATCGTCATAGCTTCTGCAGAATTTTCCATGGACAGCCTGTCACACGATAATTACTTCTCTACCATAACATGTTTTGTCCCTTTAGCATTATGACCTCTTTCTAACAATTTGTTGGCTTTAATTTAAAACTATTTATAGCTAAATCAACCTAAAATTGGCAAGTAAGCTAACTATTCCTGGTTTTACTAATATTCTTGAAATTAATTAGGTTTTTGAATCACATCCTTAGGAAATCCACAATAATTTTTTAACAAAAATAATTTCTCAGGTTAGAATAGCTTGATGTTACTATTGAAAATTGTATCTTCTTAAAATAGTATATATAGTAGCTAGCATCAATGTATTATCTTCATTGCAGGACCTCTTTAATACTTGAATCTTGATTTGTTAATGTTATAAGAAAATACAACACAGTAATAGTATATGCTAAGAAAGATTACTAAAAAGGATTATGAAAGAGGGAACACTGTTGAGAATTGTAAGATATGAAATGTATATATTCACACAGAGAATCAAACCAAAAAAGTAGTTTGGTGTAATAACAACAGTAGAAGAACCCAACAATGTCTGAATCTCTATCTCTCTCTCTACTCTCTGCCACCCTCCACGCTTTCCCCCAAGCAACCCTTTCCCTTTCTTGTTATGCTTTTTTACACCTAAGCATAGCTTCTATGGTGTAGGGACATTTTGGGATTTGGAATTTCGAAATTGCACCAACTTGGTTTAACTAAAGTATTCAAATGTTATGCCCGGTCCATCTAAACCGTTCTCTGGTTAATTAAATGCATTTAAAGTTGCATCAACCTGGAGATTAGATTAAAATATTCTATAGTATATATAAATGAAAAGGAAGCAGTGATTTGTCCCTATCAGTTCTCTCTTTCTGAAAGACAAAACTTAGCGTTCTTATGTTTTTTTTTTAAGGGTCTTGTGTTCCCAACTTGTTTTGTAGCCAAAACCAAAACGACTCCTACTACTTCACTGTTTTGGAACACTTGCTTTGTTATTTTCTACAAAAACAAAACTAATTAGATTTGTTTGTCCCTCAAGTCTCTCCC